TCGAGTCGGGTGTCGGATCGGGCCTTCATCTCTTAATGGTACTTGCAGCGCTTGGTCCGCCGTCGACTGCACAAAGGACTGCGCAGCAGGGTGGTGGCGGAAAGTTGCAATGGTGCTGTCGTCGCCACCGCTGTTTGCTATCAACAGCTCGGTTTCCCATGGCCACACGGCTGCCCCCTTCGCGCAGCACCGCGGCATGGGGCCGATGGGCCCGCTCGACCACGAGCCGATGGCAAGGCAAGCGCATGGGCTGTCAATCTCCTCCTCCCTCTCCTCCTCCTCCTCCACCTCCTCCTCCTCTTCCCCCTCCTGCTCCTCCTCCTCCTCCTCCTCCTCCTCCCATTCCATTCCTTCTCCTTATAGATAAATCCTCCCTGTCGCACCCCGAGGCCAGCTTTTAGGGCGGGCCAGGCGGTTCGCCTGAGACTCCCTCACCATTTATGACCCTGAAGCTTAAAATGTGGCAATAGTTTCACAGATGGAGGGCGGGTCGTTTTCAAAATGTGGCTCTCGCCTTAGCGCCGCGCACATTCGTTTTGAACATTTGCCAGAGCTTTACAGATTGAGGGCGGGTGGTTTTCAAAACGTGGCTCTCGCCATAGCGCCGCGCACATTCGCTCTAAACATGTGCAAGAGTTTCACGGGTTGAGGGCTGATGGTTTTCAAAATGTGGCTCTCCATCAGCGCAGCACACATTCGTTTCAAAGTGTGCAAGAATTTCACGGATTGAGGGCGGGTGGTTTTCAAACGTTCGTTTTCAACATTTGCATGGGCTTCAGGGATCGAGGGCTGGTGGTTTTCAAAATGTGGCTCTCGCCTTAGCGCCGCGCACATTCTTTGTAAACATTTGGAAGAGTGGAAGAGTTTCACGGGTTGAGGGCGGATGGTTTTCAAAAAGTGGTTCTCGCCTTAGCGCCGTGCACATTCGGTTTCAAATTTTGCAGGAGTTTCATGGGTTCCCATGATCATTTTACCAGAAATGGTGTTTTGGAAGGATTTGGAATTATGCGGGCGCAACAGTTATTTGAATTCGCTCTGTTGAAGACTCATCAAAATTGGCGTTCTGGCACGGTTCTGGATCGCCAAGACGCAGCAGTTTGGTTGATACGTGGTGTTGAAATCCCGAGAACCATGCTTTGGCACGCTTCAGGATCTTCAAACTGTTGTCTTCCAACGGGGCAGTTCCCTCAATGGAAATGAACCGTTGCAGGGGCCTATGAAGAGGGAGCTTCGAGGGAGAGTTAATTCCAACATCATTGATGACTCCTGGGTTTCCACTGGTCCTCCTCCTCCTCCTCTTCCTCCTCCTCCCCCTCCTCCTCCCCCTCCCCCTACTCCTCCCCCTCCTCCTCCTCCTCCTCCTCCTCCTCCTCCTCCTCAGAGTTTCATTAATGTGTGGAGCCGAACGGGGCAACTGCGGGCGGAAAGTCACCACACAGAGGCAGCAACTGCTGGGACCTCGTGTGTGGAACCCCCAGTGCAAGCGCTGTTTGGGGAGAATGTGCAGACGGTGTGTCGCAAAGCCACGCTTGCGGCTGCGCTTTTGAACTTTGCCGATGTGTTTAATGTCCTTCGTGCCTTACCACTTTTGAGTTGCCTTCCAGGTCAGATTGTCCAGATATGAGCTTTTTGGACAGCGCGGCAGCTTTAGAGAGAGAGAGAGGGAAAGAGAGAGAGAGAGAGTGAAGTAGGAAGAAAGAACGAAAGAGAGAGAGAGAGAGAGGGAGAGCAAGAGAGAGAGAGAGTTAGACAGAGAGAGAGGGGGGAGAGCGAGAGAGAGAGAGAGACTGAAAGTGTGAGTGGGAGAACGGGGCAGAGAGAGAGAGTTATAATGAGAGTACGAGTGAGAGAGGGAGCGTATGAGTACGTGTACGCGTGAAGTCATACACGAGGAAAGCCTCAGCAAGGGCCCAGGCTTTAGTATCACCCTCATTGCGCGCGGAGGGTGGGGACACATCACCTGGCCTGTTCATCCAGCTGCGCCGTCGTGGCGATTTGGGGGGTGGCATCTTTCAGCCACGCGCACAGGGGGGTGCAGGGAGGGGGGAGGGCTTCTTAGAAGCACCCCTGCTTCTTAGACGGCGTGGGCCTCATCTGTGTATGTAAGACTGGTTCCTTCTAAGAAGCAGCGTCCTTCTAAGAAACCTTCCCCCCTCCCTTCACCCACTTGTGCGCGCCGCAAGGATTATTCGGGGCCAGCGTGGGAGCCTTTCGGGGCCGCCTCGGGGCCGTCTTGGGCAATCTCGGGGGCTCTGGAGGCTGTCATGAGTCGATCTTTGCTCATCTGGGGAGCAAGGCATGGGACCGGCAAGACACACTGACAACACCTCGGTCTTTCATTGCTTTTTGCCCCTGGCCAGCGGGAGGTCATGGAGGGCCTCTCCTTGGGACTCCGTCTTTGGCACCATTTTCCAGCCGTGAGGCCGAGCGCCCGCTGGTCTGGACGCACACACGCGCGCGCCATTTTCCTGCGACGCCCCACTGGGTTGCAGCCAGCGGTGATGACTTACCTGGGACGCTGCGCAGAATGATTGCCCACCTCTGTGGACCGTGCCAACAAGTACCTCCCAGCGAGCGCCAGACGTAGCCAGCAGACGAGCCGCAAACGAGAGCTGGAGGAGGAGGAGGAGGATGAGGAGGAGGAGGAGGAGGAGGAGGAGGAGGGAGAGGACGAGGACGAGGACGAGGAGGAGGAGGAGGAGGAGGAGGAGGAGGAGGAGGGGAAGGAGGAGGAGGAGGGGAAGGAGGGAGGAGGAGGAGGAGGAGGAGGACGTGGGACTCCACGCCGGGGAGGGGCCCGGCACTCACACGGTTGGCGCCGCGGCCGCGCGCGCGGCGCCTCGCCGGAGGCAGTCGGAGAGGCGCCCGGAACACCGTCCAGCCACCCGATCGGCTGGGGGGCTCGCGCGGCCCGTCGAGGGCCGGGTTCCCCCACGGGCAGCCGCGTGGAGCGGTTGCCTCTCGAGGCAAACAAAAACACAAACAAAAACACACACACACATACACGTGGGAAATAAACACACACACACACAAAAACACACACACAGTGTGTGTTTTTCCCACGTGTGTGTGTTTTCCCACGTGTGTGTGTTTTTCCCACAGTGTGTTGTGTGTTGTGTGTGTGTGTTTTTCCCGCAGCCGAGAGAGGGGCCGAGCGAGGGGGCGACCGCAGAGGAGGCGGCCTCGGGGGGAAGGGAAGGAGGCAGCGGCGAGCGCACGGGGGCGTACAGGCGCGGTCGGTGACGGACCACGGTGGGTCGACAGGTACGGCGCAGCGGCACGATGGCTCTGCAGTCAACCAGCGTAGTAAGGATGCGCGACTTTCCAAGGTTACCCTTGCATCCTTCCCCATTCGGCCCATCCTTGGCCGCTTTCGCTGGCCGTACCCCTCTCGCAAAGTGTCGACATGACCTTCCGAGGCCCTTGCATTCCTTATCGCGCGTCCTTATTCTACGGGTTGACTGCACCTCAAGAGAGGAAAAGCCACCAGGGCCCGACATTGGCGTTTACCAAACGGCGCTGAGCGTTTACTAAACAGCCCTGCCATGTTGAATTCTTTCTTTGGGTGCGTTTACTAGACGGCTTCGCGTGTCGGGGTGATCATTATGGGGGTGGATTCTCTGCCCTCTACTACCGTCGAGACGCACGCATACACACCAACCGCGGCACAGCGCGATGGCAAGCTTTTTCTGACGTTGGTGTGAACTCGCCATCGACGCCTGGCGCCAGCGCCACCAGCGAAGCTACATTCGCCGCCCGCCAGCTCCGAGATCGCCGTTTTCTGTGGCCGCCTCCACCTCCATCCCTGATTCTCCTGATCCTCGCCGTCCTCCTCATCATTCTCACCCTCCTCTTGTTCCGCTGTCCTTCGGCTCCTCCTCGTCTAAATCCTCCGCCTTTCTCCTCCTCTCCGCAAAGCCCGCGATTGTTCTGGGGATCACCCCGAGACTGCCCCGGTCTTTGCCGCCGATTCCCTGGACCCGACGCGGTAATTACGACGGGCGATCGCGACCACGGGGCTCTAGGGTGGTGCCACCTGGGGACTGGGCCCACCAATGGGGCTGATGCGCCTCCAAATCGAAGAAGAAGAAAACAAAGAACAGCAATAATGATAATAAGAAACATAATAGCATACGCATACATTGTCGGAGCTCCGCGCGGCTTTCTTGGATCTGCGCTGGACCCCTTGTCGTCGCCTCATGCGCCGCCCCTGGTGCGCTGGGGGTCATCGTCGATCCAGGAAATCCGCATGGACCTCTGAGAGTCGAGTTGATGCTTATGCTTTGTTTTCTTATTCTACCTAGGCTGTGTCACTTCAAGTCCTCCCTCCCCCCCGATGTTCGGCAGTCTCGTTTTTTCAACTTCTGCTGACTACTGTTTTCGGTTGGGTTTGACGTGCCCCGCTGGAATAGGAGGATGCTAAGCCCATGCGGGGTAAGTCCGTAATTACAGAGTGCTCGGTCTTCGTCTGGGCTTGCTCCGTCTGGACGCAGCCTCTCCTGATAGGATGCTAAGTCCGTGCGGAGTATTTCCGCACAGAGTGCTCGGCCTGCGTCTGGACTACGCCTCTATTGACGGAACTACGAGCGAGCCCTCGGATCGAGGGGGCCTAGGGCGCTGTCAGCGCCACCCGCTCTCGGACAGCTCGAGGGCGCAGGGGTTTGCCGCGGCAGCGCCTCGGCGCTGCCCTGCGGCGGCGACAAGCGCAGGGCACCGACGACTCCATGTCGCTGGTCGCTCAGACCGCCTTTTCCTGGGGGTCTCCTTGTTCTCCTGTTCCATCCTCCTTCATTATCCTGCTTCATCCTCCTTCATCCTCTTGCTCCTGATCCATCTTCCTCCTGCTCCTCCTCCTCTTTTTCCTCCTCCTCCTCCTCCTCGTCCTTCTCTCTCCCTCCCTCTTTCCCTCCCTCCATCCCTCCCTCCCCCTTTCCTTCCACTCCCCTCCCCTCCCCCTCCCCTCCCTCCTTCTCTCCCCATCCCTCCCGACACCCTGCGAGGCCGCGCCGTCGTGTCTGGCTGCTCCAGCGCCCCGCCGCCGCCATCCGCCGGGCTCGCCGTGAGGCTCGCGCTGCCGTCGGCCTAGCGTCGGGGCGGGGGTGTGGGGGGGGGGGCGTCGGATATGGGGGGGGAGACATCGGGCTCGACTCTGGCCTGTGTCCAACGCGTCATTATCGAAGACGCCTACGGCGAATCACCGCCGCCCCCTGCCTTTTTGGAAGCGCCTGCGTGGCCGAAAGTTGGGTTTGAGCTTGGCCAAGCTATCAGGCCACGCGTTCCCCGAGAGGGTTTCGAAAGCTTTTGGGGAACACGGAGTCGGGCGAGCTATAGGACCAGGTGGTTTCCGAGCTTTCGGGTTTCCTGGAGGACGTCTTGGAGGGCTCTTGGACCGTCTTGGAGGCCTCTTGCGGGCCGTTTGGGCCGTCTTATGTCATCTTGAGGCCATCTTGGGCAGTCTTTGATGCATCTTCGGGCCATCTTCGCCGTCTTGGAGGCCATCTTGGCCGTCTTGGAGGTATCTTGAAGGTCATCTTGGCCGTCTGGAGGTCATTTTGACCCTTTCGGGCCTTCCTGGAGGACGTCTTGGAGGACTTCTGGGCCGTGCGGGCCTTTCGGGCCGTCTAAGGCCATCTTCAGGCCATTTGGGGCCGTCTTGGGTGCATCTTGGGGCCATCTTCGCCGTCTGGGAGGCCTTCTTGGCCGTCTTGGAGGCATCTAGGAGGCCATCTTGGCCGTCTTGGAGGCCATCTTGGGCGTCTTGGGGGCCTCTTGGGCCGTCGTGGGGCCTTGTTGGGGCCCTCTTGGGCGCTCTTGGGGCGTGGGGGGCCTCTTGGGCCGTCTTGGGCCGTCGGAGAGCTGATAAGAAGAAAATGCCACAATCCTGTAAAAAAACCAAGGAACATCAATGAGTTTGGCCCTTTCGGGCCTTCCTGGAGGACGTCTTGGAGGCCTCTTAGGGGCCTCTTGGGCAGTCTTAGGCAGTATTCTTGGGCCGTCTTGGAGGCTTCTTGGACGAACTTGAAGGCATCGTGAGCTCTCTCGTGCCGTCTTAGAGGCCATCTTGGACCAACTTGGGCGGACTTGGAGGCCATCTTGGAGATCATCTTGGGCCAACGTGGCCATCTTGGAGCCCATATTGAGCCGTCTTGTGGAGGATTTTTCCGGTCGTTGGGGTCCCTTTCGGGTGGCCGGCGGGACGGGCCGAAGCCCCAGGGGGAGTTCTTTTTGGGAAAAGAACCAAAACCAAAAGCGAAGGGTTTCAGCACGCCAGGCACCCCTGAGATGAATCAACAGGCGGCGGCGGATGACGGAAAGCGCGCGTAGCGTGCGATCCGTTAGTCGGAGGGAATTAATTAGGGGGAGTGTGAGGGGGTGGCCTCTGCACTGCGGGATCTAATGGCCCGCCCTTTTTGTTCCCCGGTTTTTCCCTGTTAACGGACCCTTAACAGGGAAAATCGGAGGTTTTATTGGCCCGCCCGTTTCCTTGTTAACGGACCGTTGACAGGGAAATGTTTGGCCCGCCCGTTTCCTTGTTAACGGACCGTTAACAGGGAAATGTTTCGATCGGGTACCTTTTTTCCTTGTTAACGGAGCCCTTAACAGGGAACATCGGGTGCTTAACAAGGGAAATCCATTCCTTTTCCTTGTTAACGGAGCCCTGACAGGGAACATCGGGTGCTTAACAGGGAAAGTCAGGTGACGGACGCTCGGGCACCCTTTTCCCTGTTTACGGAGCCTTCAAAATGGATTTAACAGGGAAAGTCCGGTGACGAACGCGCTTTTTCCTTGTTCACGGACCGTTAACAGAGAAAAGAGTTCCTTGTTAACGGACCGTTAACGGACCTTGAGCACGGCGGCTCCCTATAGCGAGCAGTGACGTAAACAAGCTGACAAGACCAAGGCTCCCAACAGAGAGCGGTGGCGTAACCAGTTCTTGACTTCAGGGCCCGAAACAGGCGGCAACGTAAGTTCCGCGTAAGCTCCGCGTAGGCTTCGCGTTAGCGCGTAAAGTCCTCGTCAATTTGAGGTACCTTCAAGACAGCCCATGAGAGGTCAAGCGTCCTCCAAGACGGTACAAGACGCCTCCAAGACGACCCAAGAGGCCAGAGGCCCGTAAGATCGCCCCAAGATGGCCCAAGATGCCCCCAAGACGGCCCCAAGACGTGTTCGAACATCTGCACGTATGCAGACCGCTTCAACGGCCTCAAAGACGGCGTAGAGAGGCCCAGACGGGCCCGAGGACGGCCCAAGAGCGATCCAGATAGCCCACGACGGCTTCAATACGGCTCAAGAGGTCTCCAAGACCCCCCCCGGAGCACCGATGGGCGGTCCAAGCGGGAAAACAACGAAAGTGGGGCTTTCGCCGCCCTGGGGGCGCCCTTGGCCTCGCCCTACCTGCATAAGCTCCTCGCCAGCTTAAGGCACCTCTAAGGCGGCGTGAGAGAGGCCCAGACAGGACCGAAGACGGCCCAAGAGTGATCCAAGATGGCCCAAGATGGCCCCAGCACAGCCCAAGAGGCCTCCAAGGCACCCCAAGCGGCACCCGAGAGGACCCCCCAAAGTGCTGAAGGACGGCTAAACCACTGTTGCCTTTGGGTTTATGAAGGTTTGCCAGTTCCTCGCCTTTTCGGGCAAGAACGGCCCGATACAGCTCCAGAGCCCCCCGAGTGCCATGACGGCCCGGGAGGCACCCAAGAGAGCCTGAGGACAGCCCAGAAGGGCCCCAAGAGGGCCTAAGAGAGCCACAAGACGGCCCAAGGAGGGCCTGGGAGACGCCCAAGATGCTCCCAAGAGACAGTATGTCGTCGTCATCATCAACAATAGTACTATCCTAATCTTCATTCGTGTTTTATCACATCTGAGAAAGGTGCGCCCCCAGACTCTGGGGGTTGGGGGTTGCTCCGACTTTCTCTCTCGTTGTCCGACTGTCTCCTCGCTCCTACCCCCTGCTTCATTCTCCTGGTCCTCCTCCCTGTTTCTCTTCCTGCTCCCTCTTCGCTTGATTTTCCCAGTCCCGTTCTTCCTCTTCCTCCTCTTCCTCCTCCTCCTCCTCCTCCTCCTCCTCCTCCTCAACCGCCTCCTCCTCCTCCTCCTCGCCCCCAGTGCGCCCAGGAGGCTTCCAAGATGGCCCCATGACGGCCCAGGAGGCCCCAAAGACGGCCCCAAGAGGCTTCTAAGACGCCCAAGATGGCCTCCAAGACGGCCCTCCAGAGGACCCCACATCGGTTCAGAGAGGCTCTTGGGCCTCTCGGAGGCCTCTTAGGAACGCTCTTTTTCGGGCCGCTTTTCTGATCCAGGTTGGGGAGGTTGTTCTGTGGCCGAGGCTCGCCGCGGCCAGGAAAACCCCTCCGTTCGCGATGCAGCGTTCCTTGCGGGTTAGCACGAGCATTGTATTCAAGCGGTTGCGGGCGTGGTGTGGTCGTGGTGGCGGCTACCGCGCCGTCTGAAGCGGCTTGTGTGTTTGTTCACTGGTCGTGCGTTGCCGAGGCGTGCGGTGGTCCACACCGTCGGGCGCAGACGTGAGGCCTTCCTTTCTCGCGCTGGAGGAATGAGGGGGAGCGGCAGGAGTAGCACGCGTGGAGGAGTCGGCAGGTCATGAGTCTGATGAGAAGGAGGCAGGTTCTCTGTCTTCTTGCTTCCGGATGGGGAGGAAGCATCTGGCGCACTGCAACGGGGCGGTAGTAAACACGGGGCGAGTAAAGGGCCCCTTTCACGGGGCGAGTAAAGGGCGAGTAAACACGGGGCAACCTTCGATCAGTGTCCCCCAATAACGTCCGTCCGAAAGCTCATAGCCAGGATGACGATGATGATGATGATGATGCTACTGATGATGATGATGATGCTGATGATGATGCTGATGCTGGTGCTGGTGCTGATGCTGATGATGATGATGATGATGATGATGATGATGGTGATGATTATGACGATGACGATGCTGATGATGGTGATGGTGATGGTGATGATGATGATGATGAGTATGATGATTATGAGGATGATTATGATGCTGCTGCTGATGATGATGACAATGATGTCGATGACGATGACGATGACAATGACGACGACGATGATCATGATGATGATAATGGTGATGATGAGTAGGAGTAGGAGTAGGAGTATGAGTCCGAATATGAGTATGAGTATGATTATGAATTATGAGTGTGTGGGTGTATGAGTATGATGACTACGATGATGATGTTGATTATGCTGATGATGATGATGATGCTGATGATGATGATGGTGATGATGATGGTGATGATGATGAGGATGATGAGGATGATGATGGTGATGATGATGATGATGATGATGATGATGATGATGATGATGATGATGATGATGATGATTGTGTGGTGCTCGTATTTGTGATGACGCTGGTGACGAAGATGATGGCGATGTTGTCTCTGCCTTGGATGGTGGTGGGGACGATGGTGTTGATGGGCGACGCCGGCAAATGTTTTGCTGCTGAATGATGGTGCTGGGCGGCTTGACCGAACATGGACTTCATGTCGCGCCGCAGCCGAATCGGCCTGCAGGCGTGCTCAGGGCACCGCTCCCCAGCCAGCACCCCGGGCCTCTGTTCGAGCACGCCCGTCGACTCCGAGAGTCGCCCGCACCAGTGAGCCTTGCAGGCCCGGACAAGTCCTCGGGGCCCGCCGCCCTGGGCGAGGGAGCCTCGACCTCTGCCGTCCCGCTGGGCGCCAGACGCCGTCGAGCGAAGGCCTGCTCCACCTCAGCTGCTCAGCCAGGGCATCCAAGGCTCGTCAACGTAGCTGTCGGTGCTTTTGTGGTCGACGCTGCCCCAATGCTGGCTTGAGATGCCTGGCCTAGACGCAGGGGCGTACGAAATCCGGCAACACCCTCACGGCATTCAATAATCTTTCTTCTTCATGCTTTGGCACGTGTTTCGGGACAGCACTTTTGTTCGGTGCCTCGTGGAATTGTCCTGTGCTGTGGTGCTCGGTAGGGTCCCTAAACGGCCAGATCTCCGAGTGAAATACGGATTATTTTTTGTGCTACTCCTTCCAGTAGAAGGTTCTTCCAGTGAGGGAACGGATTAAATCGGAATTGAAGCTTGTTAAACCTAGTGTGATAATATTGTGGATAGGACGCTTCGCCTCAATTGGTCGGGTCCCAACTTGACTTGTGATCGTTGGGCCTGCCGGACGGGTTGTCAGGAGGTATCGATGCAGTCCTGGGTCCATGTTGAAGGACCGCCTTGTGATCGTGGTTGGGCTGTCTCCGCTGCTTCGATGAAGGCACAATCTCGGAATCCTTATCAAACTATTTGATAAGGCCTCCGAGATTGTCGTCGAGATGACGTCTGGCATCACGGCGAGAGGACGATTCCTGAGTCTATTGTGAGGACGTCTCGGGCGAAACGGTTGCCTGACCACGCGTCCTCGGGTTCCGCGCCCCCCCCCCCCCCCCTGTGGGACTCCTCTGTGCACCTTCTTTCCGTTGTGCGAGGGATCGTGGCCGTCCTGGCCAGAGGTGCAGCCGGTATTGGGGCGAGAGCACGATTCTTGAGTGAATCGTGATGAGGTCTCAGGCGAGCCGGAGCTGGGACAGGGGAGAGAGCACGGCGTGTGTCTTCGTGTATCTGATGGCCTTCGGCCCATCCCGCCACCGTGCTTGGGTTGTGGGTATAAGGCTTATCGGATGTTCGTAGGGTTCTCGTTGGGGTCCTCTCGGGGGCCTCTTGGAGGCAGTTTTGAAGCCTCGGGGCTGTTTTGGGGCCTCTTGGGGCCTCTTAGGGGCCTCTTGGGCCCCTCTTGGGGCCTCTTGGGGCCCTCTTGGGCCCCTCTTGGGTGCCTCTTGGGGCCTCCTGGGGGCCTCTTGGGTCGGAAGGCTCGGATTTTCGGTTCGTGTTCCCTCTCTTGGGCCCCTTTTGGCCCCCTTAGGCCGTCTTGGGCGCTCTTACGCCGTCTTGGGGCCCTCTTGGAGGCCTCTTGGGCCGTCTTGGGGTGGTCTTGGGGGCCTCTTGGGCCGTCTTGGAGCGTCGGAAAGCCGAAAAGGTAGGAAAGCCCAAATATTAGAAAATCAATGATTTGTGCCTCTTGGAGCCCTCTCGGAAGGCCTCTTGGAGGTCTTTTATGGCGTCTTGGAGACCTCTTGGGCCATCTTGAGGCCATCTTGGCCTTCTTGGAGCGATCGTTCGGCGACTCAGGGCCCGCAGGAAACACCTCAGAACTTAAAGTCTCCAGCCCGGAAAACCCAGGTAAGGCCGATTGCTGGTGCAGGCCCTTACAGACTACAGTTTTCGCTGCAGCTGCAGCAGCAGCAGCACAGCGCCTACACTCTGGGTGCTGCGTGAGCCTTGGGGCATTCAATTTCGTGCCAGAGGCATGGAGGCGGATTTTTCGCCAGGGCTCGTGGCCGTCTGGACCGAAAATGATGCCGGCATTGCAGCGAGAGCACGATTCCAGAATGATTTGTGAGGAAGGTTGGAGCGAAACGGCTGCCGGATCGGCTGCACAGTAGTGGCATTTTCGTGGTTCTGGACAAAGCATCGTTATCGTCGTCTAGACCAAACATGTAGCCGGCGTTAAGGCGAGAGTATGGTTCCTGAGCGAATTGGCGAAAATAGCGATGAATTCTCAGGCGAAGCGGCTGCCAGACTTGCTGCCGCACCGGGCAGTGGGGATCCGCGTCCCCCCTGTGGGACTCTTCTATTGTCCATTTCTACCAAAATGATACCCTTTCCCTGAAACGCCGTTGTAGGGACAAGACCAGAACTTCAGATCGCCAAGGCCAACCCGGACAAGACGCCACTGGCCGACAGCTCTGGGCTGCCTGGAATTCGGCTGCTCGCCAACAGCCCCGACACGCCCCTGACTGTCCGACCGCCCTGAGGTGCCAAAAATTCGTCTGGCCAAGACTAGCCTGGATAAGCCCTACAGGCTCTCAGGAATCTGACTTCCTAAGAAGCGTGGTTTTGAATTGTCGGTGCCCGTATGCCACACACGTTTCGTTTGTCTGTTCCCCTCACTCCTCGCTGTATATGTTTTCGTGCCCGTATTCCAGTCTCATGCTTCTGCTGTTGCTTAGCCTTCTTCGTCCTCTTCCTCTTCTTCGTCCGCCTCCTCCTCTTCCTCCTCTTCCTCCTCCCCTTCCTCCTCCCCGCCTTCTCCCCTTCCTCCTCTCCTCCGTCCTCCTCCTCCCTCTTCGGTGCACCCTTCTATGAGCCCTGCGTCGGGCAAGCCAGGCTGGCTGGGAGAGCCTGGCCGTGGCGGAGTACACCAAGCGGATGCCCGGCCGCTGAATTTCGGGGGATTGCTTGGCATCGCTCGGACGTGTGCACTTGCTTCTCGGCGAGGACCATCGAAGAGCAGCTTGGGTCATCTTGCGAAGAAAAACACGCACGAAACCGAAAAACGCACGGGGAAAGGACGTCCGAGCGATGGCGAGATTGTGACCTGGAGTTGGGGAGCTTTTTGGACTCGGCAGATCTGGGATCATGATTTGCGGGGTCCACACTTATACGCCACCACCGCCTCCCTGACCCCGTCGCTCTGTCAGAATGGAGGAGAGGAAGAAGAGGCTGGAGAAGGAGAGGGGGGAGCAGGGTGGTGGTGGTGTATAGTCTTTGCGCCCGCGTGGTTTGGAGTTGGGCAGCTCTCTGCTTCTGGCTATGCCTCAGCAGATTCGAGCTCGGAGGCTGGCGGTCTCTTGCACCACCCCCTGCCCTGGCCGGGGCCCGCCCTGGGTTCTGGACCGTTACCGGCGGACCCTCTTGGACCTCTGGGCCAGGCCGAGAGGGCGTCTACATCCTCCGGTCGTCCGAGGTGTGCCTGGTTTGGCTTGACGGTGCCTTGCGATGTCACTCGATGTCGGCTTTTACATTCGGAGGGCGGGCTGGAAGGGTGCCAGGGCGAGTTGGCGTGAGGCGAGGGGACGGGGCGTGGGAGTAAGTACAGGCGACGGGGATGGCCAGAGAAGGGGAAGGAGCGGAGAGAGGAAGGGACGACGGATAGAGAGAGCGTCAGAGAGGGAGGGAGAGAGAGAGAGAGAGAGAGAGAGAGAGAAAAAGAGAAAGAGAAAGAGAGATCGGAAAGCGAGATAGAGAGAGAGGGAGGAGGAAAAGGGGGGAGGCGAGGTGGGGGCGGGGGGGGCGCCAGCGCAGTGTGCTTCGGCTGGCGCCATCGCGGGACTCAGAAGGCGGGGCAGAGGAACAGGATAGGGTGAGGAGGAGGAGGAGGAAGACATATGTAAACCCAAGAGTCATTAACGATGTTGGAATAAATCCTCCCTCCAAGCTCCCTCTTCATAGGCCCTACAACGGTCCATTTCCACGGATGGAACGGCCTCGTTGGGAGACAATTGTTTGAAGAGCTTGAAGCGTGCCAAAACATTATCCTCGGGACTCCATCGTCACGGATCAACCTGACTGTTGTGTCTTGACGATCTTGAATCGTGCCAAAACGCCATTTCTGGGAGCTCAACACCGCGAATCCACGTAACTGTTGACACCATTTCGGGCACACTGACCATGGGAATCCGTGAAACTCTTGCAGTTTGTTCTAAGGAACGTTCGTTGCGCTAAGGCGAGATCCATATTTTGAAAAGGAATCCGTGAAACTTGTGCAAATTCTTAAAACGAATGCGCGCGGCGCAAAGGCGAGAGCCACATTTTGAAAACCACCCGCCCTCCATCTGTGAACCTGTTGCCAATTTGAAGCTTCAGGGTCACAAATGGTGAGGAAGTGTCAGGCGAAACGCCCGGCGCGCACTTTCGACCGGCCTCGGGGTGCGACAGGGAGAAGTTATTTGAGAAGGAAAAGGAATTGAGGAGGAGGAGGAGGAGGAGGAGGGGAGAAGGAGTAAGAGTAGGAGTAGGAGGATCAGGAGGAGGAGGAGGATGAGGAGGGAGAGATGATGATGATGATGATGATGATGATGATGATGATGATGATGATGATGATGATGATGATGATGATGATGATGATGATGATGATGATGATGATGATGATGATGATGATGATGATGATGATGATGATGATGATGATGATGATGATGATGATGATGATGCATGATGGTCATGGTCATGATGATGATGATGATGGTCATGGTCATGGTCATGGTCATGGTCATGGTCATGGTCATGGTCATGGTCATGGTCATGGTCATGGTCATGGTCATGGTCATGGTCATGGTCATGGTCATGGTCATGGTCATGGTCATGGTCATGGTCATGGTCATGGTCATGGTCATGGTCATGGTCATGGTCATGGTCATGATGAGATGATGATGATGAGGATGAGGACGACGAGGATGATGATGAGGAGGAGAAGGTTTAGGATGATGATGAGGATGATGATGAGGATGATGATGGTGAGGGTGATGGTGTGGGTGTCGAAGAAGATGATGATGCTGATGCTGATGATGCTGCTGATGCTGATGTTGATGATGCTGATGATGCTGATGCTGGTGATGCCGATGATGATGCTGATGATGATGATGAGGGTGCTGGTGGTGGTGATGATGATGAAGGTTGTGGTGTTTGTGATGATAATGATGATGGTGATGATGGTGATGGTGATGATGGTGGTGGTGATGGTGATGATGATGCTGATGATGGTGAAGAGGATGATTATGGTCAGGATGGTGGTGATGATGATGACGATGACGATGACGATGACGATGACGATGTTGATGATGTTTGTTATGTTGATGATGATGCTGATGATAATGATGATGATGGTGGTGGTGGGTGGTGATGCTGACGACGATGACGACGGCGATGACGATGACGATGACGATGATGATGATGATGATGATGATGAGGAGGAGGAGGAGGAGGAGGATGATGTTGATGATGATGATGATGATGATGATGGTGGTGGTGGTGGTGACTGCGATGGTGAGGTGGTGGTGATTATGATGATGGTGATCGTTGGGGTGGTGATGGTGGTGATGATGATGGTGAGGAAGATGATGCTAATTATGATGCTGATGCTGGTGATGATGATGCTGATGATGACGTTGATGATGATGATGACGATGATGATGATGATGATTATGCTGCTGATGATGATTGTGGTGGTGGTGATGATGATGCTGATGCTAGTGATGATGAGGGGGAGGGTGATGATGACGGTGACGATGTTGTTCATGATGATGATGCTGATGGTGATGATGACGGTGACGATGTTGTTGATGATGATGGTGGTGGTGATGATGGTGGTGGTGATGATGATAATGATGAGTACTAAGGCTGCAGGGCACAAAGCACAGCTGGGCACTTCACTGCACCCTTCGAACGACGTGCGCATCAACACCACCAGGCACAGGGCTGTCAGGGCAACTGTTCTCCAGGTGGCACAGCAAGCAGAGTGCGAGGCGAAAAACGACAGGGTGGCTCAGCGCAGCCCGATCCAAGAGCTTTCGACATCCGTGGCCAGCTGGGGCGAGTGCCCAGGAATGGTCACGTGAATCCTTCACGGGCCCTTGTCGCGGAGGGTCCGGTCCAATTTTTCCCTCCTCGCTGGCATTCGGCTCGGTGGTTTCCAGAGGGGGTCAGGGCAACAGAGGGCGCGCCGACCCTGTGCGTTGATCTCCCTTTCCAGCCCCCCTGGTTGAACGCGGGGAGTCGGCCCAACCTCAACCCTCCAGCTGCTAGAGCACGGCAGTCCCAAGCTGGACAGCCAGGCAAGCGCCGCCTGCTCTGGTGGCCGCCAGAGCAGCGGGGCCTTGCGCGCTGGGCGGCCGCCTGGCCTCCGTGGTGCGGTGGGCACGGGCCGAAGTAGGTGGCACTTCTCCGTTCTGTCGTGCACGACCGCGTGGTCACAGCAGCTTCGTCCGCCAGGGTGGTGCCAGAGCAAGCCCACAGCGACCAGAGCGGCGGGCGAGCCAGCGAGGCCCGGTCATTTCTGGACACGCCTCCTGGGCGGCCCGCGCCCAGGGAGGGGGCACCTCTCCCTTTGCACTCGGCAGCGGCCCTGCAGCGACCGCAGCGGCGAGCCAGCGAGGCCTGGCTGTCTCTGGACGCGCCGCCTGGGCGGCCTGCGCCAAGGCAGCTGGGTCCTCCCGCGCGGGCGCGGGCAGAATCGCGCTTCGCGCGTCGCGGCTCGGGCCGGAGCCGCCTCCCTTCTCCAGGGGGCGGCTCGAGGGCGCGGGCATGACCGCGCGTCGCGCACTGCGCGGCGCGATGCGCGAAGCTGGGTGTCCCAGGGAAGAGGGGGGCACAGGGACGCTCGGCGCGCCCCCGAGGCGAGGGCAGGCGGGCGCGCCTCGGGCAGGGGAGCCCCGACCTCGGGGCTGCGGCAGGGCGTCCGCCGCTTCTCGCTGGGCTGCTGGGGCACGCGGGGGGAGGCGGGGCGAGGGCGGGCGACAGGTGCAGGCAGCGACAGGCCGAGTGCAGCGTCTGATGGTGAGGATGAGGGTGGTGGTGGTGATGATGAGGGTGATGGTGAGGAAGGTGGCGGTGGTGGTGGTGATGAAGATGATCGTGGTGGTGGTGAGGATGATGGTGGTGGTGAGGATGGGGATGGTGAGGATGATGGTGGTGGTGATGGTGATGAGGATGAAGGTGATGATGGTGGTGCTGGTGATGCTGATGAGGATGACGATGATATTGATGATGATAATGAGGAGGATGAGGATGAGGAAGAAGATGATGATGCTGATGGTCATGATG